CTGGTGATCTACTTCTAGAATTTGCCCAATGAAAACCTTAGGGATCACAACAAAATATTGTCAGCTAAAACCTGTTCAGCATCATAGCAACATGCACCATTCACTGACGGATGGTGGTGGCACTGAAGTTGCACTGGCTGGAAGTAGAACCCAGGTCTCCCCCATGAAAGGTGAGAGTATTACCGCGGAACCCCCACAGTCCCAGAGTGTGTGAACTAGTGCTAGTCAATTGCTGCTATGAAATTGCTAAGTCTGTTAGGTAAGTCTGCATTACTTCATAACGTGAGATGTTCTGTGCAGTAGGACATTATGTGATTTGGACATTTTGTGTCTGACTTCGTCTGGCTACAGAAGGGGGAAAGAATCAAACTCAAAATCAGCCAAAGCTGATTCCTATGAAACAAAGGTCAGACATGCTCCCAACCTACACCCTTCTTTACCCTATCCTGACGCCAACCATGCCTCCCGCAGCACTCTCTGTGTCACATCTGGGTATAATCTATGGCAGTGGGCACATAGAACTTATAATAGTCACCATTATGGGGTTTTTAGGGAAGTTGAACAGGGTACAATTCAGGACCAAAAGCAGCTCCGGATGCAGCACTTCTCCAATCAAGAACGCCTCTTCTCTGCCAGACTGCAGACATGTCTTGCTCTTGACTTCAGCTTCTCAGTCATGTGTCCCCTTAGCCTCTGTCCCAGTCCATGTGCATAGAACCCTCAGCTGCTCTGTCTCTCCATGCCACTGTTTCTGCCATCACCTCTGCTGACCCACATCTCTAGGTTGGGATCTCACACTACACCCATGCTCTTCCTTCTTGATGGTGCTGGAATCTTCCACCCCTGCTTCTCATGGCTCTGTTTAAACCTAGCTGGAGGGCAAAACTAAACCAAAGCCAGCCTTAAAGTCATGTATACCTTATTTGCATTGTAGCATAGTGGTTATGAGTCAGGCTGCCAAGCTCAAGGTCAGCAGTTCGAAACTACCAGCGGTTCTGCAGGAGAAAGATGAGGTGTTCTGCACTTGTAAAGATTTACAGCCTCAGAAACCCTGTGCAGGGTCACTATGAGTCGGAACTGACTCCCATGGTACTTAACAACCACAATAACACTTGCTGGGAATTAAGACATTGGATAAAATAGCCATATCAAATAATTTCACGGTACCGCATGTGAACACCATATTGAAATCTTATGGGAGGCTGTGTTCAGTTGTCTTCCTTGCTGTTACTGCTGTCGCTGGAACTCCTGGCAGAGGTTGGGAGAACGGGCAGTGACAGTGTGGTGGCTGAAAGGAAGGTGGCAGTATAAGCACAAGAGGAAGAGAGGGAGTGTGCCCAACTCTGCCAATTGTTCTGCCCACCTGAACATCAGTAGCAGCCTAACTCTTACAGTTCCCCTCTGTCCACCTGTCCATCCAAAGGAGAAGGCCTGAAAGCCTTTGTCTGGAGCCATGCCACCGAGTCACCCATGGTTGGTCCAGTGCTGCAAGGGGCGTGAGGTCTTGAAAATCATTAGGGAGAAATTATAAATAAAAAGAGCTGCTTTCCTTTTTTTTAAAAAAAAAGAATAGCCTTATATATGTGGTAAGCACAGCCCTAGTGGATGTTAGGTGATACATACTTTTAGATCAATATGCTAAATCCATACTCTTCAAAATTGTGATGTTAATTAGGAAAGAGTAAATGTCAGTGGGAATTGGGGTTTAGTTTGAATCTTTCCCCAGGCCCTGGTGATAACAAAGGATGAACTGATGACTATGTTTGTTGGAGACCTGTCCCAGCCCACTTCTTTCCTTCCTTCCTTCCTTCCTACCACCTCCTACACTTGGCATTATTTTTGCAGTTGGCACTTGTTACAGATTCTTGTTTTCTCATTCAAAGAGAGAATGTTTTATAACCGCAGGGATATTTGCTATATAAGGAATGTTCTGTATACTTCAGGGTTCGGGGCCTTGCCTCCAAGACATATAGGGAAAATCTCTAGTAAGGAAAAACAGTGGAACCCAAGAGGACTGTTACACTGGTTTGGATGATCTGGAAAGGATCAGTTGTAGATTGTTGTCAATTATTTCTTCTTAATGACCACTAAAACTCTGCTCATGAAAATTTTGGAGACCATGAACATGGAATAGGACTG